TTTTTAAAGTTACATTTTTCCCTATGTGGTTATGTATGAACAATGCATGCAGATTTAAGCAAAAAAAAAAAAAAAAAAAAAAAAAAAAAAAAAAAAAAAAAAAAAAAAAAAGAGAACTATAATGAGCAATACTGCAAGTACAATGGCTTTTATTCTTGGAAATTCATACAGATCACACTGAAGTGTGAGGGAATGAAGACATAAACTAGTGTGGATGTATTGTTTCTTAATTTTTCAGATTATTAGGACTTTCAATGTTCAACATAAAGCACAGCTACAACAATATCCTATGCCATGACTCAAGAGAGTTTTTAATGTCTTCATATTTTCATAAAGAAATTAAAAACAATCCAGTCTTTACCATGATATGTTAAACAGCTATCCAAAGTCAGATTTTTTCCCATAGTTTTCTGAAGTATTTGAACTTTTCTGAGTTTATCAGGGAAGTGCCATATGATAATATACTTTTAAAACCACAGAGATTTTTAGGACCAACTACCAAAGGAATGTGCAAGCACAGTGAAAAAGAAGAAGCTCTCTTGACTTCTGAGAAGTAAACAATGAAGTAACACACAAGCAATACTGATATGAGATAGAAGTTATTAACCTCAATGTATTGACTTTGTGAGCGTGGTACAATTTGCTCAACATCTGAAAGGTAATTTGGATTACAATGTGACCAAATGGGATGGGCTGGGAGAGAACTGGATGAGAAAAATGGAGTTTTGGGTTTTCATTTATTTTAGTTTTATTTTCAGTCTTTTCCTCTTGATGCAGTACTGGCAGCCACCATCAGTTCTTGAAAAAATTACAAGTTAATTATAAAGTGGTGGTGGGCCAGCGTGAAGCCAGAACCTGCAATTCCTTTTGCCAGTTGCCTTTTGTTAGCAAAAGCATCGCCCCTGTCCTTTGAAAAATCTGCTTAATTTATAGAGGCCGTGTGTTTTCCAGGATAAGATAATTCACCTCCAACTAGTCAAATACCACAGGTCACACTTTCTTAAGATTAAAAAGCCTTTAACCCCTCGTATTTTCTTCTGTGTAAGAGAAACAAACAAAAAAATGGTTTAATTCAAAAGATTTCTAAGAAGACTGGCTTGTTTTAGATAACATAAACCAACTTTTAAGAATTTAAGCATACTAAAACAGAGCATACTTATTGTGTAATCCACACCCTGAACATATATTAGCTTATGTTGAAATACCTGTAGGCATAAATTTAGCATATTTTATTTACGAGAAAAACAGGCAAAAATTCCCGAAGACAAACTTTATATGTAGGGCAAAAACTGAGACCCGTTTCATCAGAAGCTATCTAATTACTTCCTGCTCCAGTATAGTAGCAGGTCATGGCCCTACTCTGTGGTTGACAATGAGACTTTGTGAATAGATTTGACTCAGCAAACTGGATCCTACAGTTATTTATTCACTCTTTCTTTAAGAGTCCAAAGATATGCCCAGACTGCATTCAGAAACAATTAACAACAGCAGGCATGAACTACACATCATGAATGTGGAAGTGTTGAAGACTATGAGTTTACTAGCCTAAATCCTAAATAAGCTAATCCTGAGGTGATAGATTTTATCCAGGTTCCTTAGTGTTCCTTAGTGAAGTTGGACTTCAAAGAAGTGGTGTAGAAAAATATAACATTATAGAACAGAAATAACACAAATGATTGATGGTGTGTTAGAAAAAGTGTTTCTGAGGAAAAAGGATTTATTAGCTTTCCATTTTTATGAGCATAGTCTTACTCGAATAAAGCACCACACAATCTCTAGTACTACGTATCTCCCTATATTATAAAAATCAGTAGCAGAAAATTCAAAGGGCACATTTATTAACAGAAATTTTAAAAAATCTAACATAGCAATATATAAACTGATGAGATATATTCTGTGACAAGGCTGTTAAAACTGACTTGGGATTATCCTACGAGAATTTCATGCAGTCTGTTAATGCATCATTATTAGGAATTTGCATCAACTTTGGGTTTACAAGTCAGTTCAGCTGGTACAAGAAATACAGCCAAACTCAGCCATATAATATTCAGTTATATGCTTACCATGAACCACCTTTGCTTTCAGAACTGTGCTGACTACAGTTAAGTGCATGAATACTCTTTGCAAAAGAGAATGGAAAAGGCCTGAACAGTCTTGCCAAGAGAGAGGAGAGGGAAATTTCAGAAGGCAAAAAGTGATTTTTTTTGAGTATATCTTACAAAAATTGACCAACGGAGGCACTTGCCTGATAAAGCAGGTTTCTGCAAGGTCTGAGGTCAGCAGTCTCTGAGGCACATTTTTCCCTAAAGAGAAAAAAAAAAAAACAACAGAAAAAATAAAGTAGATATTCTCCTTTTGCTGATGGAATCATGCTCTGCAAATTAAAAGTAAAGCAGCTGCAAAAAACAGGTGCAAGGCTGTGAGGGAAAATAATCCAAAATTAAGATACCATTCTACTGGGAAAACAAAATGTCTCAAATAATTTTTTCTCCTGAACCCAAAGCCACGTGGACGGCTTGGAGCAAAAACACAAATTCAATGCCTGCTTAGCATTACTATTTTGAATATCTGCCTGGGTGATGTATGACTTGTGTAAAACAATTCCCAACAAAGTTTCCCACCACTTCATAAGGAAAAAACATACTGAAAGGTATAGAGTTCTGAACAAACCAGAGGGTGGAACTGAATTAATATGCATATAGGAGCATGAGAAAGAGCCTGCAAATGCCTTCAGCTTGGATACCTGACTTTCCTGGTTGGACAGGAAGAAAAAGAAAATATTGTCACTTCGTTATAATAATGTTTGCTGGAATATGGTAGTACTTCAGCTAAACATAAGGAGACTTCAGATCTCTCAGGAAAAGTGCCCAAGAATTCCTTATTGTAGAAAGTGCTACCTCCACATACAACCTCATATATAAAATAGATAGCAAGGCAAAAAAGCAATACTGTATTTTTTTGTGTCAAGAAAAAATGCAAGCTACACCTCGTGGCAACAGACAAAGCAAAGAGTGGGAAATGAGACACAGAAAAAGATATGATAGAAAACCTTAAACAATGCACTGTACCTGTGAAAACATTGTTTGTCAAAAGTACCAAGCTTGTTGCTTAAAGCACACATTAAAACTCGGAAAGTTGGTAGTTCTGCAGTTTTCTAAGACTTTAAATTCATTCTGAAACTGAATGTTACCTTTAAATGAAGACAGATTTGATTTATACCTTATACGGTATTATACAATGTTATACAGTATTATACAATATTATACAATGATTTATACCTTATACAGTATTATACAGATTATACAATGAGATCAGTAAGAAAGTACTTTCCTGGAAAAACTTGAAAATTTTCATAGCTCCTACAACACTCTTCAGTTCAAAAGAAGCTTGCATAAAGGGAGCACTCAGCTTTTGTCCATGTTACTAATTCATTACATGGAAAAAGTCTGAGAAAACAGGTAAAATAGTGACAAGTTTCCACATCTGTGACCCTTCCTGTTTATACAACCCTCCACTCTTATCCTTGTGCCTGCCACTCCATGTTGTTGCATGTCAGGCCCATTGTTAACTGATAAGGAACTGCAGAACTTATCATAATGCCACACACTCTCATTGCAAACTTCAAATAATCCAAAATCCAACACACTACGGACAAAGAGTTGCTCGAACTCCTCAGATGACCCATTTGCAGCATGATGGAGAGCTTCTCTGGCTGGGGCACAGCAAGGATACAGGGGCACTCTGGCCACAGACAAACTCCTTGTTTTTGAGATAAAAAATTAATTTAATCACCTAAGGAATCCAACTAAACTGGAAAAACCACTGAGATCATCCAGTCCAATCTAAGACTAAACACCTCCCTGTCAACCAAGTTGTCATGTCCAGTCTTTCCTTGAACACCCATTGGGACACTGACTCCACTGCCTCCCTGGGCAGCCCATTCCGATATGTAATCATCCTTCTTTCTAGCCACCATTTGCAACTAGTTCTCAGCAAGTAACTTATAGAATCGCAGAATGTTAAGAGAATGGAAAGAACCTTAAAGGCCATCCAGTCCCAACATCCCCATGTCACAGACAGGGACACCTCTCACTAGACCAGGTTACTCAATCTTATCCAAACTGGTTTTGAACATTGCCAGGGTTGGGGCATCCACATCCTCCTTGGACAACTTGTTCCAGCATCTCAACGCCCCTAACAGCAAAAAATTCCTTCCTGCTATATAGCCTAAATTTCCCTTCTTTAAGTTGAAACCCATAACTCCTTGTCACTACAATTCCTAACAAAGAGTCTTTCTCTGGCTTCCCCTTCAGATACTGGTAGGTTGCCTGTGCATTAAATTTACCACAGCAGGGCTTTGTTGAAAGGAAGGTAATGTCCAAAACAGAGAAAGTCGTCAAGGCTGCTCCATAAACAAGCGAAGCCATGCTAGATACTATGATATATCTGTGGGTGCAAGGTCATTTCCATCTCCAAAAGGAGTAAAAACCTTGTGGGGGCTGCTCCTTTCACAAACAGAAGTCTGTGGGTGAAAGGTCATTTCTCTACTCCAAAAAGAGACAAAAACCTTGTAGGGGGCTACTCCATCCAGAAACCACATTACACACCGACATGGGAACACCATCCTCACAAACGCAGGCTCCCAGCCCCGCCGGACATCTAACCAACACACACACACACACACACACACACACACACACACACACACACACACACACACACACACGGAGCCGGGGAAGCGCTGCAGACTCGGCCCGGCAGCGAACGAGGCGCCTGGTCGGTGATGCAGCAGAGGGGCTCGCATCTCCCTCACCATCGCCCGGCCGTGAGGGGCGGCCAGCCCAGCCCAGCCCAGCCCAGCCCAGCCCGCTCGGCTCCGGCCCCCCGCCCCCTCAGGGTACCTCAGCCGCCGCTCGCCGCCGGCCCGCGGCCCCGGGTCGCGCCGCGGCCCCGCCCCGCTCCGCCCCGCGGCCGGCGGGCGCAGGCGCGGCCGCCGCTCCGCCAGGGCGCGGTGACGTGTCGGCGGCACCGCCCGGCCCGGCACGGGGCGGGACCGGCGGTACCGAGCCGGCCGCGGCCCCGCAGCCCCGCCATGTTCAACGTGGAGAGCCTGGAGCGCGCCGAGCTGGGCGAGAGCCTGCTCACCTGGGTGAGTGCGCGCTTCCCGCCCGCACCGAGCTGCGCCGCGTCCCTCAGCGCCGCGGAGCCGGCCGCGTCCCGCCCCGGCCAGCGCAGGCCCCGCGGCCCGGCCGTGCTTTGTTCACGGCTTATTGTGTCGCTTCGTGGGTGCCTGGCAGGGCCGCGCTCCGCCTCAGCGCCGGCCCCGCAGCGGGGGAACAAAGGCCCGGCGAGCTGCAGGCCGTGGCTCTGCTCCGCGTCCCTCCGGGGCCGCGGGTGTGTCAGTGCCCCGCTGTGCGTACCTGCCCGTCGCTCTCTCGGGCAGCACTGCCGCCTTTCTGGCCAGAGACTTGGCATTTCCGCCTGTTTGTTTTTATCTCTTGCTTTTTGAGCAGTGCTTGAATCTCGAGAGACAGAGTTCACCGATGAGGATTTTACAATATCAGCCTTAGAGGTGATATATTTATTCCTGGAGGTGTTCAAGGCCAGGTTGGATGGGGCTCTGAGCAACCTGATCTGGCTGAAGGTGTCCCTGCTTATGGCAGGGGGGTTGAAACCAGATGATTTTCAACGTTCTTTTCCAGGCCAAACCCTTCTCCGATTCTAAGATCTTATGATAAAAATTACTTTATACTACTTTAATGTTTGCAGTTTTTGCCAAAAACGTCTTTAGGTTAAGCTGTCGCTCAAAGAGCAGCCAAAATGTAGTGGACATTAAACCTGGGTTTGCAGCAATGACTGTAACACAGACGTGGAACTTGCATTTCTGTAGTAGCTGAGTTATTGGTTAGTTGTTTGAAACCACTGAATTTTGGTTTGAGGCTGGTTTGGGTTTTTCCCCCTCTATACTCAAAATTGCCAAGTAAATACCTAGAATATGAAACTGCAATACAACTGATTATTGGATAGAAACAGAAAGTTTCAGACATTTTTTCCATGAGAAGCCAGAGCTGACTAAAGCTATCATAGTGATGAGTAAGTTCCTGGGCAATAACAGGTTAGATTTCTCAATGAAAGTCAAAAAGGATGAGCAGGGGAAATGAATTTATTGTTAGAGGTGAGCAAGTGGCCTGGAAAGTAAAGAAGGCAACAATTTTGGGGAAGAGGTTTTTGGGGAAGTGCTTCATGTAGGTCTGGAATAAGTCACCCAGTTTCACTTTCCTTCACATTCCTGCCAACTTTTCCATCTTTGTTATGGACAAGTGTTGGCACCTTGTCTTGCTTTTGGCTTTCCATGCTTTCTCTTTAAGGTGCGGGGAATAAAAAGTCCCAATATGAGGAAGTCAATGTGTATTAATATTGGCAAAGAAAAGTTGAGTGAGCTGCTCAGTCTTTATAATCTGCAGTCCTGAAGCTGTACCTACCCTGTGCAGCCTAGTCCTGTCTGTAGAAATGGTCCACAAAGGTCCCTTTACACTTCTCAAATATTGAGCTAATGAGGAGATTAGCTGCATCTCTTTTGATTTGCAGAAATAGTAAATCATCTTAAACAGCACTTGAATGGATCAGCTTTATTCTGGGATGAACGTATGAAGTTAACGTGTTATTTTACAGTTTCGTCATTTATGTGGGAACATGGCTTTGAAACACAGGAAAAAAAAAAGAGGAAAGGTGGATTTATTCCAGCATACATGAAACTTGCAGAAGAGGCAGTGAAGCTTTTTGTTCCTCAGTGAAACTGAGTATAAAGAAGATGCTTTTTTTTTTTTTTGCTTGGCTTTCTCTTAAGTCCCATAATTCTTGGGAAACCGTTCATTTAGATAGGTGGGTAGAGCTGTCTTAATAACAGTTTATGCACATCTGGGAAGGCTAGTCATTTCCCATTGTGCCAGAGAAGCTGGCTGTTCTTTAGAACTAGTTTAGCCTCCCAGGTTGCTTGCTTAACATTCCTACAGAAGTAATTAAACTGGTTTGTCTGTGTTTTGAATAGATAAGGCTTTCTACAAGTCTGAGAACCTGTTTGGCCTAACATGAATGTTTACTCAGATGGATATAGGGTGACAAAGAAAGTGTTCCTTCCTCTGCCAACTCATGATTTTAATTAAGGAGCATATCACTTAGGCTTTTTACCCTACATGCCTGTGATTTCTCCTGTGTTTAGGCTGGAGCAAGTTGCCTACCTCTGAATAGGGCTGGTTTATTTTTTAATATTTTGCCAATGCCCATTTTGTTGTTAGGCTTTAGCTCTAGCTAGGTTTAGCTAGCTTCTTATTTATTTTTCAACTCTTTGACAGTGTCATCAAATGGCTTCCTAAATAATTTTTGTTCAAGATTTTAAACAGCTGGGTGAGTTTTGACTTCCTACCATTTTAGCAGGTGACCATGATGTCATTTTGAGACAGCCACAGTAGTGGCAACTTGAGCAAAACTGAATGAAGAACTGGAGGCCTAGTACTGGCCTCTCAAAACTGATACTTGCACGTTAGCAGTGTTTGCAACCTCCTGCAATTGCAGAATTTTTGCTCTACCAAAAATCTCCCACAAAATCTCCTCCGAGGCTATCCTATGCGCTATAGGATTGTTGTCCAATATGCAATTTAACCAAGATAGTTTAGAAAAATGTGGCTGTGAGGTAAACCTGCAACAATAATAATAAAGTTGTTTCAATATTTCTAACAGAGATTGACAACTGATTTTTCTGTTTAAAAGTTAAGGCTGGTTTATATGTGAACACATGGGTTTTTAGTGTTTGGTTTGGGTTGTTTTTGTGTGGATGTAGTGGCAGGAGCACTCTCAACTCAGATACATGTCTGAGGCATTTCATAAAATGTGGAGAGGTGTCAAACGTGGCTACTGAAGATACTCTTCAGTGTATCTGAAGTCATTGTGATAGCTACAGGCTTTTGTGTGTAACCTGAGAAATTTTCTAGCATAGAGCTAACATATGATACTGAAAAGATTGCCTAGCTTTGGTAAGTAAACAGGGGGATTCCTCAAAGAGGTTGCTCCTAAGTGGTTGTAAGTAGTAAGTTGATGTGGAGATGTCATGAACTTTATTTCATTATGATAAATATCGCTTATTTTAGTATGTGATGCCTCCACCAAACCGCATCTTGCCTATTTTCTTTCTTTTCCAACCCTCAAGGCCAAATAGAGTTTCTGTTAAAACTTTTGTGATAAGTGAGAGTTTTCTAAACATTGCAAGGCTCCTGTTTCAGCATCCTACACTTCATAAGCAAAACAGTAGTTTATATTAACCTTTCCCCCTTTTTGGCTGAAAAATTTCCTTGGTACAGTGTATCTCTGTCTTCCTTGTCATGGCCTATCCCCAGCTGTAAGAATTTATCTGTGGTAGGATGAAGTATAGGGACCAACTACATGTTCAAGAGGGCTGCTTGCAAATGCTTGATAGGCACTCTATTCAAAGAGAAATTACTGGGGGAAATCTACTGGGAAGGCTGTTTTTCCTTTGTGTCCAGTTATATTCTTTTTAGATTATGTTGTTCTCATCCTTGTGCATTTGTGTTTTTAAGTACTCTTCTGGTTTCTTGTAGATGCCAAGATTGTAGGCAGCTTGCTATGCCTGTTTAAATTGTTTCTTCTTCCACTCCTTGGCCACTGACCACAAACTTGTAGAGTTTCATTTACTTCTGATAATATAATTGCCTCAGCATATCTTACCTCTTGAAAAAAAAAAAAAAAATCAGGAGTGGTTGATTGTGCTGATGATGACAGGGAATCAAGAAAACTATTCTGTTTGATTACAATGTGTTGCTGTTCAGAGAGCAAAAACACTTGAGCTTATCAGCAATCATGGAATATGGCTTGAGGAATCTGGCAGATCGCAGCCCTTGTAACTAATATAAAAGACCAGGAGGCTGAACAACCTTTTTTTTATATTTTATGACCTCTCACTAAGGTAGGAAAGAATCTGTTGCTCTAGGTTTTAGAGGGATAGTTTGCTATGACTGTGATATTCTGAGTGTAACATTCACTGTGTTTGAAGGAGCTGGAGTGTCTAGCACCATTATTGGATAATAGGTATTTTTAAAACATATTTCTGAGAGGTCAAGCAGAAATACTGAAGAGCAAGTGATATCTCTTCAGGTTATATGGAAGAGCAAGTGATAAATTGCTGATATCATAGGAGTGCAATAATTAAAGGTAATAGGGTATGGTTTATATATGTTCCTTGCCATTTCCCCCCACATATATTAAGTCAACCTGAGAAAGAAAGACTGAATGAAGAATTTGGAGCTGCTGGCATTATTCATCATGCATGCATTTTGACACTGTTAGATTTTCATTCTTTGGGGCCTTGTCCCAAATTCTGCTTTTTTCTGTTTTCTCCTTCCTGAAGAACTGTTCTATACAGTGTGCATTTACAGTAGTTCTCTGAAGAAAAAAGACGTTTTGATAGGATATAGGATGTACTCAATATCAGCTTCCAATTCTGCCCCCTCATTTTTTGGTGAGGGGTTGTGAGATCTTGGGTGGAAAAGAAACAGCCTTTGCTGCTAGGAACTATGAACCTTAGAGAGTGTAAAGGAAACAACTTTTCTGTTAGCTTGCTAATCTCAAAGTGGGAGGTGTGGAGAGAAATCTGTTTCTGTCTTCTCTGAAATACTTAAACACAGATGTTTCGAAGAGATTTAAGTCAAACTGTGAATTTTGCACAACTGTCTGTCTTAATTGTGACATTTTGGGGCTTGTAAAGTTTGAGGTCATATTCTGTCCTTCTCTTCTTTCTGGACCATTAGAAATCTTTGCTACTATGTGTAGACATTCAAGTTTGGCCTTGGGCTTCTCCTCTCTCCCCTGCTATGCAATTGCACTTGCTGCTTTCTCCATTGTGAGATGACTCTTTAGTGTGGTAGGTTTAGAAGAGTCTTTGCCTGAATTTGGTTTAAGTGCCCCAGCTTCAGAACCTAAGTCTGGTTTCTAAAATAAGTTTAATTTGCAAGTCCTAGTGATTAATTAGAAAAAAAACCAACAAACAACTAGCACAAGGCTACAGTAGGAATGTATGGTTGAAAGTCAGGGGAAGAGAGAAGTAGTGTCCTTTCGGCTTTTGTTGACAGCAGCGTGGCT